TCATAGCCCACTTGTGGGGTTTTTATTAATTAAAATGGTGTGTTTCCTTCTGAACAGTTACTTATTTATTTCATTAGCTTACCTCAAGTGGTGTCTCTAAATCAATCAGCTGAAGCCCTCAAGCAGAAATAGTGTATCTTTATTGCACTGACTGTCTTACCATATGATAGGCAATCTCTTCAGTTATCTTTCTGGATGATGAAAAATAATTTCAGTAAAATTCTTCATATTTAATACTGGGCTTTGAGTAAAACACTTACTGTAGTATTTTTGATGCAACTTTCTTCTTTAATAGCTTGCATATGAATCCCTGGCAGTTATTGGAAATGCTCTGACTCTTCTAGAAGTGGGACAAATTGCTGTGTGTAGGTGAGTTTATTTGAAATCCTGACTTTTCTTCAGTACTTCAGAGCAGAATGTAAATACCAGTTTCATTGTTGTAATTTTCTCTCTTTTTCTGAAGCTTTGGAGAGACTGTTCAGCTGCTGCACCCGTTCCACGAGCAGTTCAGTGACCAGTCAGGGACACGGATATTGCGTCTCTGCAAGTTTCAGCAGAAGAAAACAAAAATAGCCCAGGTACACAAGAATGCCTCTAGGGCAACTGGTTTACCAATTTTCTCCAGACAAGATATCAGCAGCTTCATGGTTTCATGATCACTTCGTAACACTAGTTTTTTGTATTTGAGAGTCTGATAGCAGTTTAGATAACAAAGAAATGAAATGGTCATAATTTTGTAACAGGAACAGTGTTTTCTCACATTTAGTTCTGATGTATACCTCTTTTGGGCATTCACTTTTCTCTGTTTTGAGTCTTAAAAAGTATTTTGGGTACATTTGATGTTCTTAATTTTAATGGGGATTATGAGACTAGATACTTCTGTTTCAAACTGAAGCCAAAGAAGTTCAACCTAGAAATATGATGTATATTTTCAATTATGCCATTAATCTCATTAGCAGTGCACTGTGTTGATGGCTTTGCTAGTATTGGGGAAAAAAATAATTCTGTTTGAAAGCTCTGAAGATTCTTTAGTTCAAAAGTACTTAATAAATTTAAAGCAGTAGTTAATACAGGAAAATGCTAAGAACTGTATCGGTGTTAGGTGGTCAGACTGTCTTAGCATTTAAAATAGAGAAAGGTGTTCTTTAGAAATGTTTTCAGTTTTAAGTTTATTATTTTTATTATGAGATAACTTGATTTTCTTATTTCCTCTGCAGTTTCTAGAATCATCAGCAAATATGTTTGCTGCAGCACAGCAGTTGTCTCAAAATATTAATCCGGGTGAGTTTTTTGTGTTACTGTGCTTGTTGCCATGGCTGCGGAATGCTCACTACTGAAGTAGGATCCTGCCAGGAAGACTCCTAGGACTGAAACATCACTTGCATTAGGGCTTTGGGTTGTGCTTTGTCAAAAGCAATGTTTGGTTGAAATTTAGCTCAAAACCCAGGCAACACCTATATTTGTCAAGAATTCACTAAAGTTTTGTGTAGTGCTTCTTAAAAAGGCACGCCTCACCCTTTACCTCCTGATTGCAGAGTGTGTTAAGGCACAGACAGTGCCAGCTTGGAGCACTGTCCAGCTTCCTAAGGACCCTGACTCTCTAGACACTTCTGCTCCTGCTTGTAAGCTTGAGTTCTCTAGGTATCCAGAAGCACACTGCTCTGAGGAGGGAATCTGCCTCCTACCTGCCTTTCACTGTCCTGCAACTTTAGGTTACAAGCTGCTTGAATTTCAAGGACTAGCTGGAAGAGCGCTTGCCTCATGTCTGCCCCATAGTTAGTCTAAAAGATTGCTCTGTGATAGTTAAAAGCTTGTCATTGTGGCAGCTGTATTTTTAATAAGTTCTTGTTGTTGAAATACTCCAAGAACTGGACAGTCTGGGATTTATAATCCACAGCTGCTTTGCCACAGGGTGGCCAGAGTGTCACAATATTCTGAGGGGGAGCAGCATCCAGTTCTGTTAAACTAGGTGGGGATGCAGCAGCAATCAGCTCCTTAGGATTAGGGAGCTGGCAAGAGAAAAGGCTGTGGATCCATCACCTCTTTCTGTAAAAGGACACAGCCTTGTCACATTTGGGGCCTGTCTGCAGAAGTGTGTTCTGCATCCCCCTGTAACAATCAGAGCTTGCATTCCTGACTGTAATTACTGTGCTTTTAAGTATAATTAAATACATAACTTAGAATGTACCTCTAGAGGGATGTATCTGAATCTAGGGGCAACTTGGGTCAAGTAACATGTCTCCAGAAATGGTTGGTGCTGAGGAATCCAGCATGGGTGCTATGTCTGATGTTTCAGGAGGTTTACTTCAGACTCATTGGACTGACTTGACAGAATTCTATTAGATTAAGAGTTAATTTCCTTAGGAATACTCCTTTTTCCATTATACCCACAGGCCAAACAGCACATTAGGGATTTTTGCCTTTTAAACGTTTTACTCTGAACTTACTGGAATTTTAAATGTTCTTTGTGCTCAGAAACAGCGCAGCTGCTTTTGATTGTATCTGATGGAAGAGGCCTTTTCTTGGAGGGCAAGGAACGGGTGACAGCAGCAGTTCAAGCAGCTCGCAGTGCCAATATCTTTGTTATTTTCGTAGTGTTGGACAACCCTAATTCCCGGGTAAGTGAACAAGGGAGAAGTATTCAACTGCAGTGAATGAGAAACCGATACAAATCTTTTTCTTGTCTTTTATAGTGCCATACAGCTGCCTTATCTTTTGTAGAGGTCAGAGATATTGAAACCAAGTGCAGTTTTCCATGTCTGTCAGATCTACCATTTCTTCCTGCTGTGCTTTTTATCTTTTGTATTTTAAAAAAAAAAATCTCAGCTTCCATGCCACAGAAAGGCTAAGAGCTCCCATCTTCAAATGGAATGCTTGTAGCTCTTGGCCACCAGGGAAGCAGCTGGCAGGTTGACAGATTTGGAGTTTGAGAGATGCTTTGTTCCATCTCAGCTCTGATTCAGCTTGATAATTTCTGACAGCAGTCCCCAATTGACATGACAGCTGGAGCCAGTATGAGATTAAACATCAGACAGAAGGGAGTATGTGAGAGTTATTTAGTGCCTCAGTTGGGAGAGCTGAGCCCTGCATCTGGTAATAGGGGAAGAAAACTTCAGCTATCCTTGGATGGGAAGCTGAAATACTTGGGTGTTTTTCAGGAAGGCTTTGTAGTGCAGTAAGTAAGCACACAAGCCTGACAAAGAATTATGTGGTAAAGACTAATTTTGTGGTTCATGTTTTCTTCCTGTATCTTTATTTTTGCATGCAAAACTCATCTGCTATATTTAGTGTTGAAACACTAACAGTTCTGCTGACAAACAGCTGAAAGGTTCTGATGAAACCTGGCTGTAGTATCAAGTGAAAATTCTGGGTGTCTTTCATAAGCTTTTTTTCCTGAGGAAAAAAGGGTGTTTTCTGTAACCTATATTAATTTCTGAGCTGCTACACTGAGCAACTAAGAAGTTACTTTACAAGAAGCACAGCTGGAGTTTAATCTGATTCTTGTCTTTGTAGTATTTGTTGAAATATATGAAGTTGCTAAAGAATCTTCTGTTAGAGCACTACACAAATATGAGTTGAACTCAGCACTAAAGAGCTTACAGACTCTCTTAGGAAGGCATCAGATTAATAAAGCTAAAGTGCCAACAGTAAACTCAACTCATAAAATGCTAAGAAAAGCCAGAATTTATTTACAGAATTTGGTATTCCAGAAGCTTAAGCTTAGTCCCTTCTAGCCTGTAATTCATGGATTAGTACACTTTTATCTAAAAGGGCAAAAGAATTTAACTGATTTATGTTCAGCTTCTGATCTGATTTACCATTGAACACTTAGAGCTTTTAATCTTAAAAGTATTTTATTAACTTGTAATCTAAGGGGGAGAATTATAAGTACTTAGAAAATAGGGTAAATTCTATCAGTGATCATAGAATATGTGTGTCCTTTAGTAGTAACATCAGCACTTTTTTTACAGGATTCTATTTTGGACATTAAAGTACCTATATTCAAAGCACCTGGAGAAATGCCGGAAATCAGGTCTTACATGGAAGAATTCCCATTCCCATTCTACATGATCCTTCGGGATGTGAACGCGCTCCCAGAAACTCTGAGCGATGCCCTCAGACAGTGGTTTGAGCTGGTGACTGCCTCCGACACTCTTTAGACCTTGTGGACAAGGTCAGGACCCGACTGCTGCTGCTGAACTGCTGAAATACAAGAAGCTGCATTTCATGGGACGGGTCACAAAGCTCTTCCTATCTGGGATTAATTATCCTGCGGGAGCTGCCCTGGGGCAGAGACTGTGTAAGAACAGAATGGTTTGGGCGCATCCTCCCACCTGGCTCACAGGACAATTATGCAATGGTGAGACTGCCTCCTGCTATTCCCACAAGAAACGTAAAACTCGTCTTAAATTCTCTTGTAATAATTTATTACCTTTTAAAAAAACTGTAATATTAACAGAGGTAATATTATTCCTGCTGCTCCCTCCCTGCCGTAAGTAAAACCAGTCTTGTTCCTGGGAAGGCTTTTCTGCATTAGAAGTTGAGATGTCTTGCAAATAAAGCCTTTTTAGCATCACTCGTGTGGAGGTGCCTCTGGGAAGGAAGGAGTGGGGAGCAGGGAGGCAGATGGTTTTAATCAACCAAAAAAAAAAAAAGTGCTTGAATACTTGAAACTATTCTGCGGTTTTAACACATCCTTTTTAATTATTGCTGACTTTTGCCTGACGATAGCAGCAGGGAGTTCTCTGAACCACGCCATGTGCTGACCCCTGCCTTTCCACTTTACACTGTGAAGTTTGCCCCTGTCCGAGGCAGGCGTTGGGGATGTTTCATAAATCCGGTGTCTCGGAGCACGGCCGTGATTTTTCATTGCGAAGGCTATGCATCTTGTATCGTCTGTACTAATAAAGAGAGGTACCACTCTTTGTAATTACGACGTCTGCGCCTGGAATCGATGAGAGCTGGGGCAGCCCGAGCGCCCGTCCCGCGGCCGTGAGGCGGCCCTGGCGCCGGCCATGGCGGCCTCGGCCCCGCCCGCGCGGGGCGGCCTCAGGCAGGTACGGGGCACGGGGGCTCGGGCGGGCTCTGCGAACGGTGGGGTTGTTTAATTGTCCCTCGGGGCAAAGGGCCGAGGGCGCGGCTCGCAGCAGTGTCCTGGGGCGGCGGGCAGACTTGCCTCTCTCCCTGCCAGTTCCTGAGGCGGCAGCAGGTCCTTCAGTTGTACCGCAAGATCCTGCGGGCCATCCGGGAGGTCCCTGCTGAGCAGGATCGCCGCTACTTAAAGGACTGGGCCAGGGAGGAATTCAAGAGAAATAAAGATGCCACAGAAGAGGTGAGGATTGGGAACCCGCTACTCTGAGGGCCTGTTCTCGGGCACGGTCGTTGCATGGCCTGTCCTGTGTCCTTTGTTTTGTAGGTGTCGCTTCCAGACTGGTGAAAGTCCCCTGTTACTATTAACTCATTTATGCAAAGAAATAATCCTGCATCTCTAAATATTGTCCCCCCTCTTGGCAGTAATAATGCTTCTCAAATTTCCAGAGAATAATCTGAAATTAAAAACCTGAACAACAAATACTCTGCGTACTCGAACCACAGATCAAGAAAACTGTATATATTTGTTAACTAACATAAACTTAGTAATGGTTAAGCTTTTTATAGCTTTTTTTTTTTTTATTTAATTTCAACTATGTTCAAGCAGAATACAATCAAATGGGATGGTTAAGGATGTGAAGCAAATGTGAAATGCAGAAACCTTCACATTTCTTGTATATCTGCTGTCCTCTGCTTCCTAGTTCATTCCCTGTTCCAGGCAGCGCCCCAGGAATTGGTGGCTGAATTGTGCAGACAAAGCCTTAGAGCCCTTAGATAATGTTGAGAGAAACCTGCACCTGCTGTGTAAAACCCATCTCCATAATGCTCGGGTGCCAGTCTCTTTACTGGTTTGCAAAGGCACAAAGAAAACATTATTAGGGGTTTGAGTACTCTTAAAAACTGAGTTTTAAAGCAATGCCATAACCAAGTACATTGTTAAGGAACTGGAGAAAATAAATCCTTTTATTTGCCTCGTTTTTAAGTGTCTCAGAGACAGCAGTGCTATGTCACATAAAGAAGTAAATGACTAGTGCCAGTAAGAGCTGTATGTTATTGAACATATTTTAATGCATTGAAAGTCTGCATGCTTGTGCAAAACCTGTGCTGTGTACGGATGCACAGTTCACTAGATTCCATTCTGTCTTACAGGATGCAATCAGGATGATGATTACTCAAGGCAACATGCAACTTCAGGAACTTCAGAGAACACTTAAGCTGGCAAAATCCTGATCTTCATTTTGTTGACAGTTTGATTTTTATCTATTGCAAATAGGCAGAATATTTTTTCTATAATGTGGTTACAATGGCAGCCTTTGCTGGCAACCTGGAAATGTTTGAAGGAGGAATCTATCACAGTGGGGTTTTGTTTTTTCCCCTTCCCCATCTATTTCTCAGTTTTGCTACCCTAAGAAGTGGAAATCACTTGGACACAAAGGACATTAAAGAACTGCATGGATGATGTAGCATGAGCTGCAGGAAAAGCAGAAAGCTGCAAAAATTACAGTTAAACAGATGTGTTTATGCCAGTGCAATGGAAAATAAACATATGCCAGATTATTTTGTCTGCTTTTTACTGTGGTAGCTGTAATTGGTAATATTCACAGTGACAGCTGTTCACGTACCGTACCAAAGATTTTCACCAAAATTTGTGATTGAAAAAAGAATTTGGGATAAATTGGCCCAGAACAAACAAACATTAAAAAAATGTTTTGTGTGTAGATGTTGATTTTCAGTAGTAGCTGAATAAAACTTAAAAGGGGAGGTCTTTATTCATGAAAATGGGAGATTTTGGCCCCAGAGATGTTGTGCCTTCAAACTAGTATTTAAGAGTCAATATATAAAGAAGAATTACAGGTAGAAAATACTAACTGCAAAAGTTGTGGTTTGGTTATTCAAATGTTACACTGCTTCACTTCTAGTTGTTAGCTGGTAGCTGTTCTCACTTTCCTTGAGTATTTTTAAATTATATAGAATTTTTTTCTATATAATTTAAAAATTATATAGAAATATATATATTTCTATATAATTGTTCTATGTAATTTAAATTATATAGAAAATATTTTTCTATACAATTTTTTCTATATAATTTATATATAGAAATATTTTTTTCTATATAATTTAAAAATGCCTGGATGAGCTGGGGATTTTCTCCACATAACTAGACAGGCAGCAGTAGATCAGTGCTTGACTATTTTAATTTGTGATTCCAAGACAAGCAGGATCTTTTTCCTCACTGACTCTGCTACTGTAGTTCCCTTGGGGGAGAGCACCCCTGTTTCAAGGTGGTTTTCTGCAGAGTTGCTGAGCTGCAGAAACTGGCAGCAAATCTGGTAAATGGGTATCACCACTGGCACCAGGGAAGGGACAGGACAGAATTCCAGGCTACAGGAGGAATGACCCCAGTTGAGAGCCGGAGCTGTGGTTCAGATCTGTATAAAGCCTCTGAGCTTCAATCAGTCAGAGAAAAATATGTATCTAAAAATGCTTCATTAAAAATTGACATTTTATTAACATTTTCTGGTAGAATAGACTGCCAGAACATTTTTGTGTTGGGGATTTACTTTTCATGTTAAGAGAAAGTGTTGCTTACAGAGGTATTTTGACTGAGCAGCCATAACCAGTGTTGGCTGTTACCACAGCAGGCTTCCATTCCCCTTCAGCCAGTGCTTGGATTTCTGTTCCTTAATCAGGAGGCTTTACCCTCTTGCCTCACCAAGCCTTTCCTTTCGAGCCTGGAGCCTGCATTACCCCTGTGCCTTACCCCTGTGCCTCCCAGTTTGTACATTCCAGGTTGTGGGCATGTAATCCAGAGCCAGGACTGACAGCAGGGCCCTGGACAGATGCTGATCCCCTGAGTGCTGCTGCCCTTCATCTCCACTGCTCTGTGGGCTTGCCAAGTATAAAATTGCCAGCCTGGACTGGACTGCCTTGGACTTAAAGAGTCCAAGTACAGCCTGTGAGGGTAAGTAAATTTACCTGGAGAGAGCTAGGTAGATCACACCTGTTTATAAAGTCCTTCACAGTTTTGTAGAAGGGAGGAGTATAGAAAGGAATTAGCAGCAAATGCTTCTCTTTCTTTTACCATACACTCATTGGCTTCAGAGAACCTCTAAAATCAGTAACCTGCAGCCTGGTTACTGCCTTAGATTACTTGGTAATTACTTGGATTTACTTAAATTGCTTGGACTTATGACTGTGGTCTGTATGGGAAGTAGAGCTAAGGCCACAGCCTCTCCCTAGAGCTTGGGCAAGCTCAGGAGCGTGTGTGTGATCTGTGCACAACTCACCCCGTGCCTGTAACTTCTGGAAGGGACACCTGCCCCAGCCAACAGCCAGCCCTCAGTCCCTGCCCTCCCTCTGCACTTCTGTGTTTCATAACCAGAAACAAAAAGCTTACAAGTTGAAGTCCAATCTTCTGCTCCCCTTTAAGAGTCAAGTGAGGGGACTGTGTCAGGTTTCTGTGGCTAGAAAATGTTACACCACACATTTCTGAGCAACACTTACTTTTAATTGCTTGGCAAAACATGAACTTCATCCAGGTGATACAAAACTTCAATAGCATGCTTCTGCATTCCTACTGTAGCTTAAACAAAACTGTAAACTGTAATCCCAAAGTATCTATATTAGACTACAGAAGTCAGAGCAAGAAAACTACTATTTCCATAGCCACAGATAGACTTCTCTTGTGATAGTGCATTAATAGGAACTTTAAAAATATTGTTATATGATTTTTTTTGCTTTATACATCTGCTAAAAGACAAAAGCTTAATAACTAATTAGTGAATGGCATACTTCAACACTGTAAAGTATTTTGTATTGATTTTAGAGCTCCTTAGTACTGAAAAAAAAGTATTTTTCTCCTGGGCATAACAGTACCTTCCTGTGTTGAAACTGATTTTGAACAGTTGTTCTATCATGATCTGGTAAGTAAACTTAATTTCTAGCAGAATCTGATGAAGCCTTCTCAGATGTGTAAGGAGGCAACCCTAAAGGGATGCAGATGCAATAGTTACAAGTGCACTGAGATTACTTGGAGTCTGTCAACATGGACAACACTGCTCAATGCAAGTTCTGATTTTATAACAAAACACAGTGATAAAACTTCTAAAATGCTGAGTGCTGTTTTGTGGGACCGTATGTCCTAAAACCTGTAGACTCATCAGGGCCTGGTCTCCTTTTTAGAGACAGAAGGGAAAAAACAGAGGAGGAATCATTCAGAGGAAAAAAGGTAGACAGTCTGGGCAAAGTGCCTGGAAAAAAATTCTGACTGCAAAAAATAAAATTTGAATACAGGAAGCCAAGTTTTCACTTCCTTAGATAAAGGAGTTTTTCAAGCTTCTTCAATAGTAGGCAATTTAGCCATTTCCTGCTTGAAGGAAAAAAATTTATATAAACATTCAGCCTAAAAAACAGACCAAGTAAAATACTTGTCATCCATGCCCTAAACAAAAGTTCTCAGTCAGATTACTGGAGTAGAGCCCCAACAATAGTGTAATCACAAGGAGCTCTGCAAGCAGAACACCATTAAAGAAAGGACAAATTCAATTTAGCACTAGTTTTAATAATGGAAAACCCAGAGAAAAGCAAAGTGGTAGCTGAAGCTTCTGTTCCTAAGGGATGATTCACCTTAGCATCTCCCTCCACGGCTGCCTGCCCTCTCCCAGCTGGAAGCCTGCATCTGTCAGCTCCTTGGGCTTGTACCTGGAGTGGCTTCTGTAGCTTCTCTCCACTAACAAGAGAGAGGCCCTGGGAGTATCTAAAATAGGATCAATAGCCCTTCATCACAGTAGTTCTGTCAAAAACCTTCAAACATCCTGCATTTATTTCAGTACTGGTAACACAACAGGTTTACATGTGGCATACAGTACAACCCTCTAGTCTGTGTCCTGTGTGGAAGTAAGGGAATTCCCTTTTCAGAAAGCAGTTTTGGTTACTAATGCAGTTTGGTTTCAAGCAGCATCTGGAAACTTGAGAGTGCAATATTGACAGACTCTTGGAAATAACAAAGGATCTAATCTGCAGCATCTCTTTGTTATCAATATAGTTTGCATATGAACTCTCCTCAGTTATGGAGTTTCCAAGTTATTTCTACTCCTGAAATAGAGTGTTGTGTTTGGATGAAACAGGCACTACAAATATCTATCAATATTCCAAATTCCCATACAGCAGGCTCCAACATGAGTCCTGTTGTTTGATTAGCTGCCTGGCAGGTGCTAGCTCTCTTTCTGCACCTTAGTCCTTAATTTGCTCAGCTCCTCCTCTAAGCATTTGATGTGCTCCTTGAGCGCAGCTTTGTCCTGCTGCGCCCTCTGGTTCGCTTGGCACCGGGCTTCTTCTATCTTCCGCTCGTACCACTTCTCCATCTGCGTGGAAACGGCCTCGAAGAAGTACTGGGTTATCTCCAGGGCCTGGGAGGTGTCTCTGAGTGGAGGCGCAGGCGGGGCCGAGGGCTGCTGCTCCTGGCCCTGCTGTGCCCCGGCGTGGTGCAGAGCTTTGTGCCTCGACTGCCCACTTTTGCTGGACTTTTTCGTCTGAGTTCCTTTGTCAATGAAGTAGCTGCTCTGTGGTTCAGTCTTTGCAGGTTCAGTCACTGGCTGCAAAGCAGCTTGAACTTTAACGTGTCTTAATTTGGAGCCCGAAAGCTCGGAGGAGGGCAGCTCCTGCTGGAACCTGTGGAATGTGCTGGCACTCACAGCTTTGTCCTTTGGCCTGACATCTTGAGCAGGGGCAGAAGAAGAAACTGGTCCACCAGCCACTACCTGTTGCTCTGTACCTACAGAACAAATTATAGACAATATATTAAGAAAAGCTTTGGCCAGTTATTTTAGCACTCAGAAGACCTCATTGTCTGATGAATGATGGGGTTTTGTGTGTACCTTGTACAGGCTTATAGGAGCTTATCACATCTTCACAGTCAGGTGATGTAATAGAAAGTCATTAAAGGAGAAAAGTTGGCCCAGGCAGAGAGGTGCTGCATTGCAGCTGTGGGGCTAGAGATGTACAGCAGGCAAAGGACATAAATATCAGCCAAAAATTCTTCACTGTGAGGCACTGGCACAGGTTACCCAGAGAAGCTGTGGTTGCCCCATCCTCAGAAGTGTGCAAGGCCAGGCTGGATGTGGCTCTGAGCAACCTGGTACAGTGGAAAGTGTCCCTACCCATGGCAGGGGGCTTGGAACAAGATGATCTTTAGGGTCCCTTCCAATCCAAACCTGTGACTTCATCAGAAGGACATGTAACAACTATCAGTCTGTATTTCCGAAGTAGGTTATGTCTGCTGATATGTATGAATTCCCTGCTTCTACAAAACTTGAAGTCCCAGTAATTTTGGAAAGATCACACATTTCTATGCTTTTGAACTGCAGAATAGCTCACACTCAAGCACCACAAGATCTCATATGATTTTCTATTTGATGGGGCATCCATGCCTGTTGATGCTTAGTGTTTAGGGGACATATAGAATTGTATGTTACAATTGTATTTTACAGAAGCCAGGGCTCAGACAGCATTCTCCTTGGCTGTGGACACCTGGCCATTCTGCACATTTCTTTTTTTTTCCTTCAAAAGCTT